TTTAGGCACTTGTCAGTAAAGGCGTACAAGTCTGGACAGGTGTGAAATTTTTTTGTGCTTCCAAAGGCGACATAAAAGTTTGTGAACTAAATTGTGGAGAAAAAAATATGAGGCCCATTATCTAAGTAAAAATCACAATATTGTAGTGTAAAAATACACCAATACAAGTAAAAGTCTGGCATTTAAAAGTTGAATAAAGTAAAAGTATGTACTTATTATGCAGGCAGAACAGCTGCTCTCAATGTTTGATAGACTATTAAATTGTTATTCCTGATGCATGGAAGTACTGTGTCAGAGTAACTTTAGCTGTCACATAATTGCAGTGGAATAACAGGTGAACAATATGGCTATAAAATATTGTGGAGTTGAAGTGTTAAGTGGCAAAAAATAGGAATACCAATCTAATATACCACAGAAGTATACTTAAATACAGAGTGTGAATCAGTGTACTTAGTCCAGTTCCACCACTGGGAATGAGGCCACTATTAAACTCTGCCAGGACAGAATGGAAATTTTTTTTTATTGTTATAAAGTTGCATATTATGACACAAAACTGCAGTAGTTAATGTTACAATACAAGTGAGGACTTAGTTTTCTGTCACATAACTCACTTTGGAAATATTCACATACCCTAAATATCACATAATGATGTTTTTTTTTTTTTTCTTTTGAGGCTATATCAACTAAATGTGAAAAACTGAATCTTTTCTTTTGCAGGAAAGCCGACATTGAGAGTAAAGTCTAATCCACCTGTCTGTCCGTCGCCTGTCCTCCCAACACATGGCCGACACAGAGGACCCACTTTAACACCCACATAAAACCAGCGGAAGGATTGAGGAGATAAATCCAGATTCAGCCTTCATGAATTCATCACACACACCAGGTACGTCTCTCTATCTGTAATGGCTGCTGTGGGGAATACTGGTTTAACAGGTGTGAGAGAGGAGCGCTTATGGTTTATATTGGTGTTTCAAATGCAACAGTGTGTTGACATTAGTGGTGCTTGTACAGTATGCGTCATCTGTAGTTAGTAGTCGGTAGTCTTTATGTTTGCATCTGTTTAATCTAGGCATACTGGCATCTGATAAACAGTACTAACACAGGAAACTGCTCTTTTACATTATCTCTCTTTTTACTGTAGTAAAGGTTTGCCTTCCTAATTTGAGCAACACAAACTTCAGCCTTTTTTCTCAGGGTTGGATTACTCTGTTGTGTGGTGTGTTGTTGCATTTGTCTGTTCAGTTAATTACATAGAGGAAGGTTTACCGCACCAGCAGCCCAGTTTACTGACCAGTGCTAAACAGTGTAAAGGGGACCAAAATACCTGATGCTTTGTAGCACCACTGTCCACCTGAAGCATGGCTCACCAAAGCTGAGGTCAGTAGCAGACTCCATCATCACGCTCCATACCATACTGCATGTTGCTTGCCCTTCAGTGACACATGGACACCTCTGTGTGTGTGTGTGTAGACAGTCAATGGATGACAGATTAATGAAAGACACCTTTATGATCATCTCGCGTATTTTTTTGACAACTTTCTCAGATTGAGTGACTGGTTGACTGACTGTAATTTCGGTTGTTATGGATACAGATATAGAACATAATGCGTGCACACAGGTGCACAGACAGCAGTGTGACTCCAGGGGTTGATGTGCCTCAAATAGAAACGCAGAGATGAGTCATCGCCTGAGCTACTGCAGTACAAACACGCACGCACATACACACACACGCACACACACCTTTGGCAGATGTGTTCAGTATGTGAGAGCACTGAGATGTCAGACATGTTGCCTGGCCAGTGCCATCTCTTTCTCTTGCTGTCACGCAATTTGAAAGGATAATGTAAGAATAACAAACCAATTCCTTAATAAATAATCATAGCACTGGATAATAGAATAGCAATGCAGCAGCTCAAGTCAATCTAAAACAATGCAGGCTATTACAAATTAGCTTTCAATATTGACATTTTCTCCTCTTTCTGTGTATTTAGTCTCTGTGTTTGTGAGTCATACTGAGGCAGCATTAAATTTGCTTGAGGACACAGAGCTGTTTACGCAGGAGGTGAGGATAATGAGGTGATGAAGACAAGGTGGGATGAAAGTGATGATGAAATGATTCAGTCAAATATTATTATTCCTGGAAAGGAAAGTGTCCCAGCAGCAGCGACAATCAGCCCAGAGATAAAAAGCTGACAAATACACAGAAATAGTCCACAGCTCATCTACTGTTCAGGACCTTTTAAAGCATTAGCATGGTTTACATAAAGCCAGATGCATTCTGATCCTTTGTTGTTTGTAATTTATCCACTGTGTGTGCGCTAGCAGTCAGATTCATCTCATTACGCTCTGTTAAAACACTGGAACATGCACCTTAAAGTGCAGCTACACTTAGGACTGAGCTGCTGAATGGAACAAACAAATCCTATAAATAGCAGCCAGCAGTTTGAATAAATAATATCCAGACTGACAGCAGAGTCAGCAGTGCAGCATTTGGTTTTAAACTGACCTTTCTGTGAATCTCTATAGCATTTCCCAGGTGCACTATGGTTGGAAAATGTTGCTGGTGGATGAAAACTGTATCTGAAGTATAGACATAGGCTGTACGCTAAGGGTTATATGTGTCAGACGATATCATGGGTAGATACAGGGTTTATATTTTAAACAAAATTTGCAAAGGAAAAGATGAATTGATACAGGTTTCCATTTCCATCCTCTGGAGTGATATACATTTTTTTTTCATCTAATTCTCAACAAGCAAACAAATAAACAAGCATATTTCCCCAAAATCTCAACTTTGTGTTAGCAATTTTTAAATATTTTTATTTTTACTTCTTGTTTGTATTCAGTTTGCATTACTTTAGTTCCCAACCAAGTGTAATATCTAATTTGAATACTTCTGTAGTGTCTTGATAGCTCAACAAAGATCAAGATCTGCTCTGTTTCTTCCACAGTAACTCAATGTAAATCTATCTTGTCGGTTTTGTAGGATTTTGCGCTTGTGGAAAGTATTTATTGTTGACCATAACCGATGCCGTGTATATAAAGCCTGCGTGTTAGGGTTGTATGATATGGTAGGATCTACTGTGACACAATATACTGTTTGGTTAAGAAACCTTTTGTAGGTAAATAAGTCCAGTTCCTTGAACGTAAATAAATAGCTTCTTAGGTAAATTTCCAGCTGGTTACAGAGCCTTTACACTTAGTGGTGTGCCAGTGGAGTTGTCTAACACTTGAAAGGTGATTATTACTTTCAGAGCTGACATTCAGTCATGTTCCAAGAGCTGAATAAATACATGCTTGATCAGATTAGCATTCTTATTTAATATTTTCTGATATTTTTCTAAATGAAATAACAGTTTAGTCTGTACTGTATTTGGGCAGAGTTGCAGTTCCTTGAGATATTGTAGGACATTTATGAGGTCTGACTTGTTGTGTTGCCTGAACAAGAACTAGACTGATAAGTTGGTCAGGCTGATTTATTACCGGTATTAGCTTGTTGCAGAAATATCAATATCAGTGTATATGCCAGCCAGTAAGCAATGAGAAATTGCAGTATAGATATGCCAAACTATGTTGAAGTAATTTTGAAATAGCATCAACATTACATAGTTTGTCCACCAGAGATTACTGACAACTAGATTTTTCAACAAGATGAACAAGACTAGCAACTGTGTGAGGCTGTACAGAGTGCAGGAGTGTTGTGAGCTAACATGCTCACACTGACATTAGCACGCTGATGTTTAACAGATATAATATTTACCATGTTCACAATCAGAGTCAGAAGGATTTATCTGCTGAGGAACAGAAATATCTGTGCAAAATGTCTTGGCAAACCACACAGTAGTTGTTGATCTACTTCAGTCCTGACTGGTGTGATGGATAGACTGACTGACTGACTGACCGACCAAAAAACTGACATTGCCATCCCTAGAGCCACACTGGTGTAAGTAATAAAAAGTGGCCACACATTGTATCTTATACATAGCACACACACAGGACGAGGCAGCAGAATGAGCAGTCACAGCTACCATGGTTAAAAAGTAAATGAGCTTCACCTACACAAGCTGCATGGCAAAAGCAGAGGAAGAAGAGGTCACAGTCCCACCCACACTCTTTGACTGACAGGTGGGCTCTGGGAAATGCAGTGCAAAAACATGGCAGCACTGAAAACCCCCACCCTCTCTCGCTTCACCTCCTTCATCCAACCCCAGAGCTGTAGGCTTACTGCTGTTTCTCTCTCTGTCTATTTTTATCTGTAGCTCCTCCTCTTCCCTGGCAGGCTATTTTCAGCTGTAGTCCCTCCATCAACCCTCCCATCTCCTCTGTTTATAAACTCTTCTCATCTCTCATGATCTGCCTATCCTTTAATGCTCCAAAAATCGGCCGATGCCACAACAGAAACATGTAGTAAAAAAAAAAAGGAATGAATGAAGGTGAATGGACAGATGGATTTAGTGGAGTGTGCTTGTTCTTTCCTTTTCTATCTTCTTGCTGATTCTGTGATGCCAACACAAAACACCAGGAGCTGCTGTTGACTCAAACTTCATTTCAATCT